TCGGAAAAGTATAAAATGCTAGACAGGGGCTTCCCTGGTGGCGCAGTGGTTGAGGGTCCGCCTGCCGATGCAGGGGACACGGGTTCATGTCCCGGTCCGGGAAGTTCCCACATGCCGCGGAGCGGCTGGGCCCGTGAGCCATGGCCGCTGAGCCTGCGCGTCCGGAGCCCCGCAACGAGAGAGGCCACAACAGTGAGAGGCCCGCCTACCGCAAAAAAAAAAAAAAAAAAATGCTAGACAAATATAAGCTCCCACCTCCTCTGAGGAAACCTCCTGACTTCTCCAGCTGAAAATGCTCTAGCCCTGAGAGGTTCGGAGCAGAGCCAAGTCCCAAACGGCCAGTGCAAGGCAGGGGGAGGGGGAGGACTAAGAGGAGAGAAGGGTGCTCCGTGCTGCCCTGCCAGCCTCCCACTGTGCAGATAAGCTGAGATCGGATGGGAGCCCAGCGGAAGAAGGCTCAGACTCTGAGTACAAGCTGGTCTGCCAGCAGGGCTCATTCCAAATGCCTCCCCACCACAGACTCTCAGCGTTGCAAATTATTAACCTGCTTAACTCTGCTGCGGAGATAAGTGCTGCTGGGGGGAAGGAGGGTGTCGGAAGCCCCTTCATGCGAAAGGTCCCTTTCCATGAGCAAAGAACTTTCCCTTACAGTTTTCAGCCTTTCTTATTTACTTCTAATAAGAAGTCTTCTAAACCAGCCTTACAAAAATGTCTAACCTCTCAACCAGAGGCAATAATGATTCATCTCAAGAGGGATTTCATCCTGCAGGTCCAGTAAATAAGACTCCTATTCACGTACTCCACTACCTGGATGCCTGCAAGAGAACAGCTGGTTTAGCCAGAAAAGGATTTATGTACTGCTGGCACATTCTGGCAAAATTTATCACACTTGTCTACACATCTCCAGACAATCCATCAATATTGTTACAACGAGCCTGGAGAAATCCACTGCCAGATAAAACAACTGGTTTATATTCCCATTTCTGAATTTCCAGTTGAAAACCTCCTTGCAAAAACTATGCAGAGGAGTTCCCTGGCGGCGCACTGGTTAAGAATCCGCCTGCCAATGCAGGGGACACGGGTTTGAGCCCTGGTCGGGGAAGATCCCACATGCCACGGAGCAACTAAGCCCGTGCGCCACAACTACTGAGCCTGTGCTCTAGAGCCCACGAGCCACAACTACTGAAGCCCCCGCGCCTAGAGCCGTGCTCCGCAACAAGAGAAGCCACCGCAATGAGAAGCCCGCACACCGCAACAAAGAGTAGCCCCCGCTCCCCGCAACTAGAGAAAGTCTGCGTGCAGGAGTGAAGACCCAACACAGCCAAAAATAATTAATTAATTAATTTTAATTAATTAAAAAAAAAAACTATGCAGGAAAAGTGAAACACACAGAGAGAAATAGTTTGCCTCAAATCAGGTGTGGAGCTGTGGCTAAGAATGTGGACTCCCGAATCTCAGTGCTTGGGTTTGAATCCTGTCCCCTCACTCCCAAGGTGGGTGATGTCACCTCTCTAAGCCTCAGTTTCTTTCTCAGTAAAATGGTCATAAAATCTCTTAATTAGGCTTCTTCTGAGCATTAAATGAGATGATCCAGGTAAAGCACAAAGTAAGTGCCTAATAAGAGTGGCAGGGGCCCAAAGAGGGGGTGTGAGTGTGCGGATGATCTTCAGTGATGGAGACGAGGAGAGTCCACACTCCATCAGAGAAGTTTAAAACTAACCCCTAGGTAGCTGGCTGACCACGTCCACCTCCCCCTCCCAACTGAGGCAAGGCTGCCTTGACAAGGTGCCTACTCCTCGAGGTCGCAAAGCAATTCATCTAAATTCTGGAAAACATATATAGTAAGAATAGTCTTAGAACTAAGGAGTCTATAGGAATATATTTAACAAAGGAAGTGCAGGACTCGTACACTGAAAACATTGTTGAAAGAAATTAAAGGAGACCTTAAGTAAGTGGAAAGACATCCTGCGTCCGTGGATCAGAAGGCTTAATATTGTTAGGACGGCAATACTCCCCGAAACTGATCCACAGATTCAATACAATCCCAGCAGGCTTATTTGCAGAAATTGACAAACAAATAATAAAATTCATAGGGAAATGCAAAGAACCCAGAATAGCCAAACAGTCTTAAAACGAAGAACAAAGTTGTAGAGTTCACACTTCCCAATTTCAATACTTACTATACAACTGTAGTAATCCAGACAGTACTGGCATAAGGACAGACATATAGATCGATGGAACAGAACTGACAGTGTAGAAATAAACCCCGACATTTATGATCAATTGATTTTCAAAAGGGTTCTAAGATCGTTCAATGATAAAAGAATAATTTTTTTTTTTTTTTTTTTCGGTAAACGGGCCTCTCACTGTCGTGGCCTCTCCTGCTGCGGAGCACAGGCTCCGGACGCTTAGGCTCAGCGGCCATGGCTCACGGGCCCAGCCACTCCGCGGCATGTGGGATCTTCCCGGACCGGGGCACGAACCCGTATTCCCTGCATTGCCAGGCGGACTCTCAACCACTGCGCCACCAGGGAAGCCCAAAAGAATAATTTTTGTAAACACATGCTGCTGGGATAACTGGACAGCCACACGGAAAAGAATGAAGTTAGACTCCCTATATCACCATATACGAAAATGGACCAGAGACCTAAGTGTAGAACTACGAAACTCTTATAAAGAAAACATGAGTTAAATCTTCATGACCTTGGGTTAGGCAATGGTTCTTAAATGTGACACTAAAAGCATAAGCAAGAAAAGAAAAAAACATAAGTTGGACATCATAACAGTTAAAAACCCTTGTGCTTCAAAGGGCACCATCGAGAAAGTAAAAAGACAACCTACAGAAAGGAAGAAAATTAACTGCAAATCACATATCCAGAATACATGAAGAACTCTTACAACTTGACAAAAAAGACAAATAACACAATTTTAAATGGACAAAGGATGTGAATAGACATTTCTCCAAAGAAAATACACAAACTATAATCACATGAAAAGGTGCTCAACATCATTAGCCACCAGGGAAATGCAAATCCAAACCACAGTGAAATACCACTTTGCACCTACTAGGATGACTGTAATCAAAGATACAGACCATAACAAGTGTTGGTGAGGATGCAGAGAAATTGGAAACTTCATATACTGCTAGTAAAAATGTAAAATGGTCCAGCTGCTTTGGAAAACAGTTTCTCAAATAGTTAAATACAAATTGTAAATATAGATACAGATCATAGACATTTAGATAGATACTGTATGATTCCATTTATATGAAATGTCCAGAACAGGCATATCCATTGAGGCAGAAAGTAGCTTAGTGGTTGCCAGGACCCAGGGGGAGAAAATGAGGGGACCATGGGAGTGACTCTGAGTGGGTATGGGGTTTCTTTTGGAGGTGATGAATATGTTCTGAAATCAGTAGTGATACTTGCATTACTCTATGAATGTACTAAAACCACTGACTTATATACTTGAAAGGTGTGAACTTTATGGTATGTGAATTATACCTCAATAAAGCTGTTATTTAAAAACAAAACAAGAACAGACTAAGGGGAGCAGGTGTTGTCAGTGACTCCAACTTGGCAGCCTGCATCCTCTCTATTTGGCTGATGTGGTGAACTGCAGAAAGGGACCCATGGCTCCCTGTCCTGTTCTGTTTGGGTCTCCTCCTGACCTACCTCAGAGCACTACCCCACTAACCTAAATTCTTGCCCATCAGAGCCGAAGCAGCAGCAATAATGGGAACAACAATATGGCTAATGTTTATTGTGAATTATGTGCCACATGCTGCTGGAACTGCCACCACACAGGTGTGAGCCCCATCAGCTCTCACCTGGGGCGCTGAGGGAGCTCTCCGTCCTGTCTCTAACTCAGCACGCGTCCCTTACAGCAGCATCCACTGCCCCGCGGCATCAGCTCCCACCCTGGTTTTTGCACCCCAGCTCCCTTACTCTCTCCCTCATTTCACTGCAGTGCATTGGTGGGGTTGCCAGATAAAATACAGGACAACCAGTTAAGTCTTCATTTCAGATAAACAGTGAATAATTTTTTAGTAGAAGAATGTCTCAAATATTGTACTTCTCTGTTTAACTGAAATTAAAATTTAACTGAGTGTCCTGTAATTTTACTTGCTGTATCTGGCAGCCCTGCACACCAGCCCCCAGGTCGTTTCTAAAACATGTGGAGCTCAGTCTCCCCCAAAGAATTTTGCATTTGCTCTTCTCTCTGCCTGAAATTCTCTTCCCCCAGATATTCACATGACTCCCTTTCAAATGTCAGGTTTTTGTGCAAATGGGACCTCAATATAGTGGTGTCTCTGAGCCAACTTCTCCCTGGCACTCCGAGGCTCTTTACCCTAAGCCTTCATCACCACCTGACATGTTATATATTTAGTTGTTAATTGTCTGCCTTCCCCTCAGGATACTGGGAATTCCTTGACGGCAGGGCTTTGATGCCCTGCTGCATTCCCATTGCTTAGAACAGGACCTGGCACGGAGCAGGCAGTAAGTTGATATTTTCTGAGCGAATACAGAAGTGTTTTGCATGGGTTATCTCATCTAATGTTCCTAAAAGTTCTCTGAGACAAAGACTGCAATCAATCGTGTTTCATGGATGAGGGATCCAAGACACACAAAAGCCAAATAACTCACCCAGAAGCCCCCTGCAGCCAGTGGTGGGCTGGGTCCGGACACAGGAGCTGGACCCCCCGAGCCCCCGTTCTGGCCCCGCCTCACCGCACCAGCTCATTGTCACAGGCAGATGAGCACCTCAGAGCTAAGGCAACAGGTGTTTCTGCCTCCCTCCCACTTCGATTATTTGGGTTAGAGGAAGGAAGGAGCCACTGACGTATCTAAGAGTCTGTATTCGCTTCAGACACCTTAATCCCAGAACTGAATTGCACTGCTTGACTTTGCCCGCATAATGACCGTTTTTGAACCTGAAGTGTCGAATAACCATTTAAGCACCCATGTAACAGAGAAGCTTGTGTGGGTGTCTATACTCACTTTGATTTCTTCTTGAACATCAGGATTACGGAAATTTAAATCAGGTTGCTCTTTCATAAACTGATGAAAATAGCATTGGCTTCGTACTTCATCAAAGTGCCAACTGGAGTTTCCATATACACTTAACTAGCAAACAGAAAACAGCAAAGCAGTTGCTTAGCACGGTTCCGACGATGGTATCGCCCACAAAGGAATGATCATTGCCATCCCGGCCCCTTGAGGACTGAGTGCACAAATCCCCAGAATTTTTTTCTAGCGGGAGCACTAGGTAAATTAATTTCCAAAAATGCCATCCACTGGCCTAATGCCCCACAAGCGTGGTTGTGATGTGTTTGTACAGTAGAAGCTATTCCCAACAACCATAACATGAAACCAAAGCTCTCAAAGGCAGGACAAAGGCCAGCTTAAGGAGCAGACATTTCTAATGTATTTTCTTGAATCTTCTATCCAGGCTCTGGAATCCTCTGTTTGTGAAGAAAAGCAAATGGTGGCCAATTTGGGAGAAAGACATATTGTATTGGTCTTGGAGCTTGAATCCAGAGAGAGCAAGTGTTTAAACTGTATCCTTAGCAAAGTATTAGAATCATTCAAAGTAAAACTCTACTAGTCGTCGGGAATAAAAGAAATCTACCAACTTCAAGTGTTGGTTCCCAGCTGCGTTTGACGTGGGTGCTGCTATCCTCCTTCTAGAAATGCTCATGTCCGTGGCATTTCCAGAAGGAGGAACTTGTGTGAGGGTTCCTCAGGGCTCTGTCTTGAGCCATTTGTTCATTTCACACTAAAGAGAACATCTGGACAGCATTTACAAACTGAGGGATTTTGCATAATATTTTCTTTTTAGTTGGAAGACCTAGTCACACTGGGTCCACATTTCCATGGCAACAACTGGCCCAAGCTAAGTAGTAGCTGATGCCTTTTGAGGAAACATACTCTTGCCAGATTACCTCATGGCCCACCTGGATACAAACCAGAATAAGATTTTTACAGTATATATCAGTATATGGAAAGACCAGTATACAAAATACAAAAAAAAAAAAAACTCCACAAATCTATTTCAAAGGGACAAACAATCCAACAAAAAACTGGGGAAAGAAACCATTAAACAGGTGTTCCACAGAAGTGGAAGCTCAAGTGAATAAATGGATGAAAAGGTGTTCAACATCATTAGTAATTAGGCAACTACTACACTAATAACTAGTAATTAGATAAATAATCATTAGCAATTAGGGAAATATAAAGTTAAGGCCTCAGTGTAATTAGATAAGAATCATTAGCAATTAGAGAAATGTAAAATTAAGACCAATTTATGTTCACTCGGTAAAAATTAGACTAGATTCAGTCCTTAGCCCTTTCATGTATTAGTTGTGAACCAGGGCAATGCACTTAACATTTCTCTGCCTTGGTCTATTCATCTGCAAAATAGGAATTAAAGCCTAACTCATAAGATTGTGGGGTGAATTAAATAAATTAATGAATATAAAACACTTAGGACAGAGCCTGGCACACAGTAAGCATCTAGCAAATGTTTGCTAATGTCATCATCACTTCCAAAGGTGGTGGATCAGGGAAAAGAAAAATTAGGGAGATGAAAGTGCCAGGACTTGCTAAAGGCCTGTTCACCAGGCTGCACATTAGTGCCATTCATGGAACCTGGGATACGGGAGGTTGGAGGAGACGATCACACAGTCGGCTTTGACACGTGTCCTTTGAGCGTCCTTGGGTCATCTAAAAGTTGATGCCCAGGAGTCAGCCTCTTTAAATGTTTATGGAGGTCAAGAAGGAGGCCCTGGAGCGGGGACAGATGATCCAGAGGAAAAGGCTCCGCAGAAAGCAGGAGAGAAGGTGAACTAGAGTGGGCAGAGGGACTGTCCTGGGACAAGAGTAGAGTTGCCAGATAAAATATAAGACATCCAATTAAATCTGAATTTCAGATAAACAACAAATACTGTTTTAGTGTAAGTATGTCCCACGCGATATTTTACACTAAAAAATTATGCACTGTTTATCTAAAGCTCAGATTTCACTGGGCTTCCTGAATTTTCATTTGTAAGTCTCGTAACCCCAGACAGGAGAGACATGGTCTCAGCTGCAAAAGAAGTGACTAGGAAGAGGGTGGGAATGGGGGCAGATGTGATGGCTTCTGTTCTTTCTTTAAAGTAGAGTTTGCTGCCGAGAGTGATAAGATGGGGAGAAGGCAGGAGGCGGGAGGGTATGTTGATCAGCTGGATTTAGTAAAACTCCCCCAAAAGAATGGCTGGATCAGTTCAGGTGGGGACAATGAGTGTGTCCAGAGGCTTAGATACCGAGGTTCAGGTAAAGAGAAAATGGATGGTTGGGTTTATTTATGGCTAGTGTTTTGTTCGACAGTGGAGTCAAAAAGCCAGAAAGGCAAAGGGGTCTGCAGAGTAGCAAGACAGTTACTGAACAAATAGGACATGGCGTTTAAGCTGGACAGAGTGGGAAGTAAAGGAAGAAGACATTAATAGAGAGCATAGGTTTTAATTTGCTGAAATACATCAGCTCTACAATAAAATGAAAAATCCAAATCCCAAATCAAATGATTAGGAGGCTTTGGGACTTTATTTCTATTTCTTTGGGAAACTCGTTCCCCTTCCCATAAACTATACCCATCATTTTTTTTTTAAACAGGGCTTTGTAAATAACCAGTTTAATCACTAAAGAGCTGCCCATTTTCCCTCTGTAAGTCAAGCACGTCGGTACTTACCCAGTTGTTGGGCGGTATGGTTTTGCCATTTTCACGGGTACAGTCATGCCAGATATAATAATCAGTATATTTCCCTGTCCGGTTCCGACTCCATTGAAACCAAGCATGTTTATCACTGGTGTGGTTTGGTATGAAATCGATGATTAATTTTAAACCTAATGAATGAAAACATTTCAAATGTTAGGACAAGATTATATTAGAATAATGTAACAGTGAAGGAAAAAATGCTTTAAGTTAAGCATTTAGAGAAATGCTTTTTTTTTTTTTTTTTTTTGCGGTACACGGGCCTCTCACCGTTGTGGCCTCTCCCGTTGCGGAGCGCAGGCTCTGGACGCGCAGGCTCAGTGGCCATGGCTCACGGGCCCAGCCGCTCCGCGGCATGTGGGATCCTCCCGGACCGGGGCACGAACCCGTGTCCCCTGCATCGGCAGGCAGACCCTCAACCACTGCGCCACCAGGGAAGCCCGAAAAATGCTTTTCTTAACCCATCCCATCCACCTTCCATTCAATTTACCTTTATCATGTATGGCTGCAACCAGATTCTCAAAATTTTTCATTGTTCCGAAAATGGGATCGATTTCTTGGAAATCTTCAACACCATATCGGAAATCTTTAAGGGATGATTTATAAAATGAAGTAATCCAAATGGTTTTTATATTTAAAGTTGTGATGTAATCTAGCTTATCTTGAATACCTGAATGAAAAAGTCAAAGCCATGAAAAATATATAAATAAAGTTTGGTTTTTTTGAGTTGAAGGATTAAAAATAAAAGGAATAGGTCTAAGATGGAAATATTTATATTGAGACAGAAATATTTAGAATTTTGCTGTATATGGGGTGAAATTCAGATAGCAAGGTCTAGTTCTACAAACAACAACAAATCAATCTTCCAGCAATAACCTTTGACCTTTAACATCGATGCATAACATTTAAAAAAATCTGTCTGTGGCTTGTTCATATTTTATACTTAAAACCAAGACTACACTATTGTTAATTTATTCTACACATGGTTTTTGAGCACCTAATCCAGGCCAGATGCTGGGCTAAATGCCAAGGTACAAAGAAGAATAATACATGGCCCCTGATGGTCAAGTGGTCTGTGCTGCACTGTCCAGTGCGTAGCCACTTGCCATGTGGCTATCAAGCACTTGCAGTGTGACTAGTCTGAATTGAGATATGCTGTCAATGTAAAACACACGCTGGACTTTGAAGACCCAGTATGAAGAGAAAGAATGTAAAATAGCTCACTTATATTTTTATATTGATTATATGTTGAAGTGATACAGTGGATGTGTTGGAGTATACAAAGTATATTATTAAAATTAATTTCACTCGTTTTTTTACTTTTTTAATGTGGCTTCTAGAAAACTGATAATTACCTATGTGATCCACATTCTATTTCCTTTGGATATCGCTGAAGCCAAGAATTTATACAAAAGAGAATTCTAGAGTTGGCTGAGAAGAGATATGGGAATGAAACTGTACTTGGGACCTCGTAGGATAATTAGCAGATAGTGGCGTGGGGGTGTGTGTGTGGGGGCGTGCTTCTAGTTCAGAGTCCTAAATGCAGACCCAGAGTTGAGTTCAGTATTCAGCCTCCAGTAACTTTCTGTGGGACTCTATGTGGCTTCCTACAATCAGCCTGTCCGAGGTCACAGAGACCAAAGCACAAAGTCCCCTGACTCCTGGACTTGGGGTTCTTCCCCTGTAATAGGCTGCTTATCTTTGTCCTCATTGTACCTCAGTTCCCCTATGTGGGTGGCTGTCAGACCACAGAGTGTCAAAAGGCAACAAAAGAATTTTAAGGCAGATTTAAGTCAGAATTTTGATTTATATCAAAAACCAGCACAAAGGAACAGGATGATAAAAACAGAGGCTGAACAGACACAAAGTAAACAAGGGATCTCCCAGGCCCACATTCCAGGGGACAGAAGGCAGTAAACTGAACTGAAACCTGGAACATTTTCTTCAAGTAATAACAACAAAACCCCCTCAAAAAAAAAAAAAATCCCTCAACCTCAAGGAAAAATACCTATTAATTACAGGAAGCAGCCAGTCCTTCAAGGAAAAGTTACCAGAAATGGCAAATGTGAGAGGTGATTAGAAGTTGCCCTTTGCAGGAGAATTTAGATGGAGATTACAGAGGGAGGACCAGGAAGTGGGGAGTGTATTTTTGGGTTTAGGGTTTGGGGCTCTATTCCATCAAAACATCACTTTGCAAAGCATTTCCTTTGTAAGAAGCAGGTGCTAGGACCATGCTGGGGGCTGGGGGTTGGAAGGAAACTCACCCAGATAACGCTACAAGGCAGTATCAGAGGTGCTGCTCCTTCAAAGCACCACAAGAGCTCTGGGGAGGGGAGCGCACCCACTGATCGGGAGGTTAAATACAGATTAATGAAGGAAGTGGGTTTGAACTGCATCTTGAAGGACAGAAAATATTTCAGTTAGCTAAGATGCAGGATGACTTTAAAAAGAGAAAAATTATATGAGTGTGAAAAAGAAAAGCCTTTTATTAGTTATCAGGAAAGTTGGAGATTTCAGGAGTGTATTTATAACATTTTAAAGTTTGATTAAGCTCATTTCCACTTCCCATACTCTATTAAATCATTCTGTTTTGTCTTCTTCAAGCCAAATATCATTATCAAAAATTACCTTATTAGTTTATTTGTTCCTTATTGTTGCCCTTAACTAGGGTGACCATATCAACCAATCTGCCTGGGAGCGCACCCACTGATCGGGAGGTTAAATACAGATTAATGAAGGAAGTGTATGGTTTGTGTCCTTGTTTACGCAATAAATAATTAGGACATTCCACACATAACACACTAGGAAATTATTAGCGTAACTTTAAATTTTTTAAACTTTTTTTATTAATATGGATATTGTTTTTAAATAATCCTTAATTCAAGTAATGACCAACCCACTCTATGCCTTTTCTTCTTTCCTTCATTTCTCAGAATATAAGCTTTAGAGACTCAGCCTACACATTTTAAAGACATCACTTAATCTTTTTCTAAAATATTGTTTATGCTTTGTTCACTAATCAGAAACTCTCCACCAGATTACCAAAACAGCCACTGTGCACACTGGAAAAGGAATGCTAAACAGTCACTCTGAGATAACCAACTCTAAAGTGCACAGAAGCAGGACACATTTCAGGAGGAAACTTGCCCACGTAGGAAGTTAGAATGGATGACCAACTATGCAAAGGTTCCTAGCAGGCGATAAACTAAACAGCTCTTTGGGGGCTCAAAGGGCTCCAGCAAGTAACCTTTCATCATGTGGGAAGAACTGTTGGGTTCTGCTGAGGGGCTTTTAAACATCATAAACAAGGAGAAACGTGGCGTGACCAGTCATACTGGATGGAATGTGCTTTGACTGCACAACCCAGGCATAATGCCCTTCAAGAACTGAAAGAGTCCCTACAACCTCATCTCGGACACGCCCCAAACTCTCAAGGCACACACGCACCTTTTAGATCTCCGTTCCCATCCTTGTCGCTGTCCTTGAAAGACCTCGGGTAGATCCGGTACATGGGCCCCGCCTGCCACCAGTCCAGGCACTTGGGAGAGATGGCAATGATGCCTATGGTGGCCGCAATGAGCACGAGCACAGAAGCCACGGTGAGCCAGAAGAGGATCTCCCGGGGCACCCGGTAGCGGGCCTGGCCCGAGAACCGGAACAGCACCTCCTTGGGCATCCCCACGTAGGGCCGGACATCCTTCAAGTCGGGCTCCGCAGGGCCAAAGATGTCCACGGCGTTGTGCTGTGGGCTGTCCTCTGGGCTGCCTGGGTCCGGGTCCGTCTCCAGGATGTCTTCATTTTGTACAAACCCGTTGTTTGTCCGGCCTCCCTTCATACTTATTCCAATGGAATCTCTCTTGCCTTTATCCTCAGCCATGTTTCACAATCTTATCCCTGCGGAGTGCCTTCCTGCAGTAACAAAAGTGGGAAGGGAACTCGCTGAATTGCTTGGTCGTGTTAATGAGCTTTGCTTGGTTTATAAATAAACTTGGCTGCACTTTGTCCAGCCAAGGAAGAAAGGGTAAAGGTAAAGGGAGTTTTAAAAAATTCTCTTTACACCTGTGAGGCTGACGTAACTATAGTCACTACACTGAGGGATTCAGTTCTGGACTGGGACATGGGCATAAAGGAGGGGAAATGGGAAGAGGACACAGGGTTCCATTGCAATTTAAGGTGTTACTCGATTGAGTACACAGATGTTCAAATCAGCATTATTCACAACAGTCAAAAGGTGGAAACAAGCCAAGTGTCTATCAATGGATGAATGGACCCAAAAAATGTGACATATGCCTTAAAAAGGAATGAAATTCTGACCATGTGCTACAACATGGATGAACCTTGAAGACATTATGCTAAGTGAAGGAAGCCAGACACAAAAGGATAGATATTGTCTGAGTCCACTTATATGAAGTACTTAGACAAATTCATAGAGACCGAGAGCAGAACTGTAGTTACCAGGAGTTGGAAGGAGGAGGGTAATGGGGAGTTCTTGTTTAATGAATATAAAGTTTCCATTTCGGCTGATGAAAAGTTCTGGAGGTGGCTGCACACCAATGTAAATGTACTTAATGCCACTGAATTGTACACTTACAGATTCTTAAAGTGGTGAATTTTATATTACGTATATTTTACCACAATAAAAAAAATAGCTTACATTTCTTTTTTCTTTTTAGCTAGCTCTGAGAAAAAGAAACAAACACCAAATTTTGCAAGGGGAAACAGCCTTTTTCTTTTTTGTTTTGGAGGTCTCTTCTCCTATAAATGCAAGAGGAAGAGGATTGGAGGCAGGGAACAACAAAACCTTTGTTACTAAAGCTATTTTATTTTATCTCAATTCAAGCCAACCTGATAAATACCTATTTGTATGCTCAGTATGACCCCAGGTGCCTTCAGTTTTTCCTATTTTCAGAAGAGGAAGTGGCTGTCCATCCTTGGAAGCTCTTTTCAAAGTGGGAGTGGCAGAATGAGGAATTCCATGTCTAGCAAGTTCAAGTGCTTTCTTATAGGTAAACAGTTCTTAATGCGAGCATTAAGAGTTGCTGAATCACTGACAAGTATAAAATACAAATTTGCAACCCTGAGGAAACTGCATTAAAGTTAGGTGTGCTTTCGTAGATTATAAAACCTTAAAAGAACGCAATGATTCATGGCTTCCATTTAATCAGTGGCACATATAATAAACAGCTCTATGACTCATTTGATCAAATAAGAATTTTTTTCTTTTAAATAAGGAAAGTTATATGAATTCATAATGTTATTTTGTAGAGTTACGTAGAAGCAGTAATTGGTACAGAGGAATGAGCTATTTGATTTTCACTAAGTTATTTTTAAAAATGAGTAAATCCCAATATCTAGCTCATTGAATGCATCCAATAAGTGGCATCTCTCATCATTATTAATTAGGCATGTTGTATATATTTTTTTAATTAAAGGTATTTAACTTTTATGTCTTCAAATTGCTTCATCACTCAAACACATCATGGTAATTTTCACAACAGACACTAATTGAAATGCAGTTACTATTTGAGGATAAAAAACAAATTGCAAAAATACCCCTAGTTTTACAATAATTTTAAATTATAAAAATAACTTTTAATTATAAATACTTAAGTTCTAAGTATTCAATCATACAAATGCAAAGAAAACTCTACATCATAACAATACAATTTCATGACAGAAATGTCCCAGTTTGACCTCTCCACATTTTATTTAAAATAACAATAACAGGGGCTTCCCTGATGGTGCAGTGGTTAAGAATCCACCCACCAATGCAGGGGACATGTGTTCAAGCACTGGTCCGGGAAGATCCCACATGCCGTGGAGCCACTAAGCCCGTGAGCCACAACTACTGAGCCTGCGCTCTAGAGCCCATGAGCCACAACTACTAAGCCCATGTGCCCCAACTACTGAAGCCCACCCCCCTAGAGCCCATGCTCTGCAACAAGAGAAGCCACCGCAACGAGGAGACCATGCAACGCAACGAAGAGCACCCCCGGCTCACAGCAACCAGAGAAAGCTCACACACAGCAATGAAGACCCAACGTAACCAAAAATAAATAAATAAATTTATAAATAAAATACAATAACAACAACAATAATACTTCAAACTTCCAGAATATGCAAACTAGAATCTTTTAAAAAACAATCTGGAATAATCATCTGGTCTCTGGTGGGAGGATCATTTAAACAATAAAAGCAATTACAAAAGAAGATTGAATTGACTGAATAAAATTTTTGAATTTTTTATATCACAAAGCATACTAATTGAAGAGCTTATGACAAATTGGGAAATGCATTGGTAATAAATACGCCAAAGAACTTATGTTTTTAACATTAAAGATATGTATATATTGTTTGACATATTTTTACATATATGAAATTTCATAATATCAATTTTAAAATGTCAGTAGGAAACTTGAAAAAAGAACGTAAACATATTTAACACAAATCAACTCACTAACGTTAGAGAAGTAAATAAGCATTTTCAATCACATTGGCAAGGAATTTCTAAAAGATTATAGTACTGACAAGGATCCAGCGTAAATTGACATCATGATTCTGGAAAGTAATCTGGCAAATGTGTATCATGAGTTTTAACATTTTCAGAGGCTAAAAATAAATAAATGGGGCTACAGCTGTACTGGATTTTAAAATAAAAACTCCAGAAAAATGAAGAGTTGTTACTGAAGAAGGGGTAAGTCAAAAGATCAACTGAACAGATTGGAGTCATCAAAAATGGACCCCTACTCCCTATACAGAAGGGAATTTAGAATATGAAAAGTGAGGAAGTCAGTGAGGAAAAGAGAGATTATTTAGTAAGTGATGTTGGACAATTGGATAAGGAGAGGAAGTATAATATGATCAGAATCATGTGGGAAAAAATAGCACACACATTTGTGCATGCATGTTGAATTTCAGCTAGTGGTTGCCTGGAGGCTGAGAACAAGAGAATGAGGATGAGAATCCTTGGACTTAACGCTTTTCTTGTACCTATACTTGGACTTATACTTTACCCTGAGTTATCTGTCCTTAGCATATATGACTTTCATAATAAAAAGAGGGGAGAAAATGTTCATATCCTTTAACTCAGCAATTCCACTCCCAAAACTCTATCTTAAGGAAATAATTCAGGACAGGGACAAAAGTTTATGAATAATAGGCTTATTAATTAGTGTTATTTATTACAACAAATATTTGGAACAACCAAAATGTTCAATGACACAAGACTACCTAAATAAATTATTGTACATCCATGTTATAGAATATTAGTCATTGAGCATATTTTCGAGGATTTTTAATGACATGTAAGAAATCCCACATTATTGCATTGAGTGGGGAAAATGCAGGCTATAAAGTAATTGTCCTAATTATGTAAAAACAAATTTTTTCATGTAGATTTGTAAAGTCCTATTAGAAAAAGTGTTTACAGTGTTTATCTCTGGGTTCTAAGATTATGCGTGATACCCATTTTGTTCTTTAAACTTTTTCCGATTTTTCTAATTTTTCTGTAATGAATATGTATTACTCTTCCATTAGAAAAAAAGTAAGTTAGGAAACCCTGAGTTTGGAGTCTCCCTAGAACTTCCAGTCAGGTGCTAGAGTTCAGTTTAACGTGACTCCTCCTAACATCAGCCATCCAAAATTCATAAATATCCCATACTCAAGATTGAAACTAAAGAGAGAAAAAAAAAGCAAACTTCAAAAAGCAGAAAGAAAACATGGATTCAATGAACAAGTATGGAAACACTGGAGAAAAGGGGAAGTTGGCAGCAATTTGGAAAAGATAGCCACAAAGTTAAGAACTCCCAGCAAATACAAAGTATCAGTATTACTTACTTTCAAGGTGACTTAGAAGGAAATATTGATTGTAGAAAGCCAAACACACTGATTGTTAAAACTCCTAAACATGAATAAAGAACAAGAACACTCAGGAAGCTTTAAGAGCTAACTCTGATAATCAAAACAAAGAATCAGAGATAATGAAGATCATCTCTCTCAGTAAATTCAAATTCCAGGTAAGTTACACAATCACAATAATAAAGCAAAGAAGAATGAACTATCTAGAAAACAGATAACAGAACAATGGAGGCTATCACAGGACCCAGAAACATCCTGCAATTAAACAGAAACAAACATATAGAAAGCAGTAATCAATTTAAAAATGTATTTTTATATTATATATATATATTTTAAAATATATATGTACTAGGATTCATTAAATGAATTTTAAAGCCATTCACTCATAAAGACTTCCACTCAGCAGCAAACCTACCAAAATAACTTACAGTATATAACCTGTCAGATTAGCAAACATTTAAAATAGAAAGATTTTCCATATTGCATTTACCTGTCTATAGCCTCTGTGATCTAAGGGTAGGATCTGCTGCATAGTCATCTTTAAGTTCCCAGCATCCAGTTCAGTGCCTGGTAGATTATTAAATGAATAAAAGTAGTTACTTAAAGATAGATAGACCTAACCCTATGCTGAAGAAAAAGGGGGGGATGAAAAAAGGGGGGAAGAAGGGGAGCAGGGGGATTAGAATGAAGAGGTGGAGAGGTGAGGGGGGAAAAAGAGAAAAGTGGAAAGTACATTCTGCACAAAAATGTAGGTTTTTATCACTTAGCCAAATGTTCTTACCTTGACACAGTTTCATGAGTGAAATTTCAAGTCAGAGGAAGTGAGATTCAAGCTTGCCTCCACTACTTGCTCTCTGTTTGATCTTGGACAAAATTTTCTCTGAGCCTCCGTTACCTCAGCTGTAAAACAGTTTTAAGTAGAAGGAAACACTAAAATAGATTTGTCCCAGCTAGAGAAGGAAGTTCAATTTATATAACCATTGAAATCAAAGGAAAATTTCTAAACATGTTTTTGCTGGAAGTTAAACTATTTTAAAACATTTTTATAACAAAGTATAACAAAACAAATAGCAAAAGAAATGCTAACAGAACTTGAA